TACGAGTTTCATGGCTTCAACAGTACGACTAGGGGCGGAGGCACTCACATGATCGACTAACGTTTTACCGAACGCCCACGTTTCACCGAGTGACACTTTAGCGAATAGTCGACCGCCGCGAAGCGGCGTTTACAGGTGGGCCAAGTGGGTTCACATTTTTGTAATGAGCCGCCACACACTGCCACCGCGAAACGGCGTAAGCGCAGCGCGAGGGAGGGGGGGGGGGGGGGGGGGGGGTTAACACGCGCTCCCGTTATTCATTAAAACGTCAACTCGCTTAAATGTCGCTGTTTGCTAAAACGTCATTCGCTCATGTGACATGGACCCGTAATAACTCCTATGATCTCGTATACGACCACTAAATTAACAGTTAAGACATAACTGTTGGACAGTATACATTTCGGAAAGATTCTGACGATTTTGAATAAAATTAATTTCAATACCCGACCACTTTCTTCAAAGTAACCGGCCTCAAAATATAGACGAAATCCTTCATTCCACCAGGAAATCGCTGATTGCATAACGGATGAAGTATATTGCATGGTATATATTAGTCTCAAAACAATCTACTTATGGGATCATTTTTTCCTACCTTGGACGTGGGAGCATTAGTTCCGGGACCATTAGCTCCGGGACCATTAGCTCCGGGACCATTTGCTCCGGGACCATTAGTTCCGGGGACATTAGTCCCGGTCCATTTGTTTCTACACCCCAAGTATATATCGTACCGAAAGCGCTTTCAAAGCTATGGGTGATGGTGGCCTCGTCTGCTTTGAACACCGATCAAAGCTGAGAACGCGCTCCCTTCTGTTACATCACAAAAAAAAAATAATAATAATAATAAAAACTTTATTTAGCTTAAAGGGCTGCGACACTACAGAAAGGCCATTGGCCCACACCTGAGGCCTGCAGTGCCGCATTACTACAAACAAAACAGAACAAAGGAAGAAGTGAAAAGATAAACAGGGAAGCGGAAGGACGCAGCCGCACGTGAGCCCCGGCGGCAGTGTAGGGAAGAGACCACCCCCAGATGGCAGTCTACGCCCTGAAAGGTGTCCGTGGCTTTCGGCGGCGTCTTTAGAAAGACCGCCGCTGTAGCCCGTCCATTTAGACTTACGGCGTTTGCAAACCCACCAATCGCTCTCCCCGTTTTTTTTTTTTTTTTTCCCCATTAGTGAATTTTTTTTCGGTTGTTAAAACATATATTCCAGTTAGACGACGATCTGTCCGAACTTAATCGCTCGCGTGCTGAAGACTTGGCCCCCCGGATGATGGGGGTTCCAGCTTTAGCCTCGCTGATTTTTCTTTTTTTTTCGGCGCAAGCCTTTTTTAAATTGACGAGAAAAATTAAACAAAAATATCTCTGAACATGACAAGCGGTTTGTCCTGTTGTATCCAAGCTGTCTGCTACGTTTTCATGGATGCGACCGTGGAGCGTAGAATCGACAGGTGACCAGTCAGACGCCCCCGATCCTCCTTTCCCTTCCTCTTCTACCCAATCATAGGCGGCAAATCTCAATTTCATTCGCTACGGCCGCATCCATGTAAATTCAGCCAAGGGAAAAAAAGAAGAAAAAACAAAAGAAAAAAGGAAAAGAAGCTAAGATCGACGACGCTATTCGTCAGTCACTTGCTGTTGTGTGCCTATAAAAAGTCGAGAACAGGGATATCCTAGTGTGCTATCCACTTCAAATGTACGTATCCCTTTGAAGTCGTCCAGCGAAACTGAGTATACGCCCAGCTAGCTAATATCTCCAATATCTGCGTTCCTTGTACTTCATCGCAGCTGTGAACAAGGACAACACTGGTGAGTGGTTTCTTCTGCGCATCTTCCATATGGCTGTTAGATAATTTGCGTTCACTCATACACTCTAAAAAATGTCTGTGCGTCTACTTTCACGCACACCACCTCGGAGAGCCAATCACCGCAACTTACGGAGGCAGCTCAGCGAATGGCGATACCGAAGCATTTGTCTAGAGACCAAAAAACGCAGTCTGAGTTGTGACATTAAGCAATTCAAGCGTGACGTTTTGCATTGCTTAATGTCACAACTCAGACTGCGTTTTTTGGTCTAAACATATGTTTCGGCATCGTCATTCGCTGAGCTGCCTCCGTAAGTTGCGGTGATTGGCTCTCCGAGTGTTGTGCGGGAAAGTGGACGTACAGACTTTTTTATTAGAGTGTAGAGTATGAAAAGTTCGATCTCATGTGTAATTTATTTTGAAACAAACTGCACAGAAAACAACTAAATTAACATGACCCAGTCTTGTGTTGCGCTTACACTGTAAGAAATGCCTGCGCGTCTACTTACCTGCAAAACACTCAAGGAGCCAATCTCTGCGATTTACGAATTCAACTCGGCGAATGATGAGGCGGAACATCTCTTTAAAGCTCAAAAGGAAGTCTGGGCTTTATGCTTGCATTACACAATGCAAGCATAAAGCTTTGCATTGCGTAATGCCACAGCGCAGACTTCATTTTGAGGTCTAAACGGATGTTTCGCCTCATCATTCACTGAGCTGATTTCGTAGTTCGCAGTGATTGGCAATTCGTGTGTTTTGGGGGTAACTAGACGCGCGGGCATTTTTTAGAGTGATAGTAATATTGAGCAGCTTTCAATACATTTTCTTACTTAGATGATTTCAAATGTTTGCCGAAACGACCGTATACCTTATGCGTGTTAGTGGAGTTAATCTTCTCCGATGGTGGGCCCTTGAAACACGAGGTAAAGCCGGTATGCTAGAGCAATGCAATTGAGTGCCAGTTTCCGCGGCATTGGTTAGTGAAAGCGTTGTCATTTTGTGGCACCGTTTTAGGAACATCGTTACTTCTTGTTTGCTTTTTAAGTATGTGCATAAGCGACGACAATCGAATTTTAGCAATAGCCAACTGATGTAGCGGGCTCCTTGTCTCATTTAACTGTGTGGATTTAAATATTGATCGTCAACTCTACGAAACTTTTGGCTTTGCTGATATCTCTAGCCTCGGGTACATAAGTTGTTTTTACAGTGTTAGATACGCCACCGTTAGATGGTGAGATTGGTAATATTGTTGAACAGCCGAAGTTAAAAAAAATCTCTGCCTCGGAATGGCACTGATTGGCTCTTCCAGTTGTTTTGCGAGAAAGTTAGCGCATGGGAATTACTGCGTCACTCTAAGAAATGTCCGTGCGTCTGCTTTCCCTCCGAACACGCACAGATCCAATCATTGCCATACAACATCACGCCTGCACTGCCTAATGCCTCGGCGCAGACTTTTCTTTAGACGAAAACATACGTTCGACGTCGTCGCTCGCGGTTGTAAATGGCAGTGATTACCGCTCTTCGTGTTCTGCGAGAGAGTAGGCGCGCCGACACGTCCTTAGAGTCTAGGCAGCCTTACGCTTTCGCATTATATGACCGCAGCTGTAGTCCCTCGATGTGCACACGGATTGTAGAACTTTTTTGAGATTTTCATGTTTGTTTTATACATACATCGAAGTAGCGATGCTCGCGAGCTGATTCATATGTTGTTGTCATAATGGACTGTGCACATGCGCACATTGAGAACGGGTGGTTTTATACCGTTATTATACCTCATATTATGTAATACTACTTTGCATTTCAAGACATCATAGTGTTTGCTATTGTATATAGCTTGCGACATTTCGTAATCCTTTCATGTCTTGTACTTCTGAGGACACGGGTGTATCTTCTATACTTATACGTTAAAGGGGCACTGAAGTCATTTTTCTTAAAAAGGTCGTTTTTGATCTTATATTGTTAAAATGTATTAGTTCTCGCATATAACAAGTCCTATATTACAAAACCGCCTATTCATCTTAGGGCAAGAGATAAACATGTGGACTCTTTTTTCTCGCGGACTATACATTATGTAGACCAATCAAAGCCCTATACAATACGCGCAGATTTTGAATGATTTTATTATAACCCGTTTCGAGGAGAGTCTGATAGGTATACGCATTCGGATAAGACTCCTCTTTTTCACCGCGGGTGAAGCCATGGCTTGAAACTGGCCGACAAGCTCACTTCGTCGACCACTTCACTCGGAAAATTCTTCCCAAACGGGCGTGTCGCGTTCTTTGACTGCGCTTTTAAAAACCAGGAAATAAGCTACGCACGATTGTAATTTCTGGTCTGTTGGGATGCTTAGGGCGTCTAGATTGAATTGTCACCACGAAAGAACGATCTCAGAATTGACTTCTGTGCCCCTTTGATAGTAATCGTAATTATGTCTGACTAAACGCTCCATGAACGAAATATTAATATATGTTCAACCTCTTTTTAGGTTCGGCCACATCATGGCTGCTGCAGTCCGCATTGACCCTGACGTCACGGGGATCGCTAGATTAGTTCAAGACGAAAAACACCTGGACCAGTTCTGCATGAACTTTGGCTTGGCGCCCCAAACTGTGCCGCCCAGGGTCGGGGTGGTGGTCGGGGGAGGAAGGGGCAGGCCGCCCCGCAATCCCGTGTACGGCGTATGCAGGGACCTTCGATTGAACCGCGACAAACCGCAGTGCCCCGGAACCGTTACGAAACACAAGCTCAAGGCCAAGAAAGGTATTCGGAATCAGATGCGATGCGGTAAATGCGCTAGTAAGCGGTCGGAGCTGAAGCATGGGACCAAGGGCTCCTTCTTTGCGCGCATAGATGTTTTGGGAAGACCGAACGTCAAGGTGGGCCGGGCCGAGGTTTTGGCCCTGCTCTACTCCAAGTGCCGCGGACACTCCACGCGTGAAACAAGGCACGATTTTAACAGACATTTCCCGATGAACGCCCATATGCAGGCAGATTGGTTCTGCTATGCACGCGAGTGCTGTGCCAAGGAACGGGAGACTCTGCCCCTACTGGGAGGACCCGGTAAACACGTGCAAGCGGACGAAGCCCTGTTTCGAGGAAAAAGAAAGGGGAACGTGGGCCGGATGCTGGGAGCGGACGGGTACGGTTCCCGCCGAAATAATTTCAACGGGAAGGTCTGCGGGCCCTGGGTGTTCGGGATGATCGATGTGGCGAGCGGCGAACTCCGGATGGACAGGGTCCGCAGACGGGACACCCTGACCCTGTGTCGCGAAATCCAACGGCACGTGGCGCCCGGGACCACAATAACCACGGACGAGTGGGCGGCCTATAGGAGGATTCCTGCGCTCCGGGACGCGGCTGGAGTTTCCCTGAACTACACCCACCTGACCGTAAACCACAGCCAGCAGTTCGTGAACTCCAGGAACGGGGCCCACACTCAAAACATCGAGTCTGCGTGGGGACCCGCCAAGGCGCTGCTCGTCCGCACCATGAAGGGGTGGAGCAACCCGGGTGCCCACACACCGCAAGGACGAGCGGAGGCAGACCGCATGCTGCAGACTTACCTGGACTGGGTCTGGTGGCGATCAATCAACGGCCCCACGAAGTGTAAGTACACCTTCCTGCGGCTCCTCGAAACCATCGCAAGGCAGTACCCACAAGGCTAAAAAAGGTAGGAAGAACTAGCACATAAAGGTTGCCGACATTTTCACCAAAACCCGTGCAATTGTTCATAAGTTTCAATGCACTGAAATTCACACATTTATTTTAACTCTTCCAGATCCCGCCAGCGCCAGGTCAACGCGACGACCGGTCATGGGGAATCGTTCCCACTTCAACATGGATGATATACATATATTACTACAAGGAAGAAGACGACGGGCTGTCTCGGCGCCACGGACACGAGCGAGGGGCTCGCGGCGGTGGCGGTCAGTTTGCAATTAAAAAGCTGAACCGCAAACGGACGTCTCCTTGCTTGGTCACAGAACAACGCAACAATGTATATATATATATATATATATATATATATATATATATATATATACATATATATATATATATATATAATAATAATAATAACCTTTATTTGCTCAGGAGAGCCGCGGCACCGCAGAAAGGCAACAGCCCGTACCAAGGAGGCCCGCGGTGCCGCGTCTAGTGAAGGGGATTATGTGATGATGTAATATACAAGATGAGAGTGCTTATGATTAGGATATGTGCGTTAGGCCTAATAGCATTCTTCGCGGTGCTGTCATTGGCTCCTTACTTCTAGCAGGCCGGTCTCGAACACCTGGAGTGGGCTCCTCGCGTGTCCGACTTGCATAGCCGGCCGAATTACCGGCGACGCAGGGAATCCATCACCCCCGCGGGCGTTGAAATGACCGACCTTCCCGAAAACCAACTTTTATCCGAAAATCCGTTTTCCGAAGACGGCACTGGACAGCTGCAGAACACTCCGCTCCCGATGCAAGTCAATCTACCCTACCACCAAGTATTGTCAACGCCGGAAGTGAGTCAGCTTTTTCAAGTTCTGGCCGGCGTCATTGAGCGACAACCGGCGTTCCTGGAAGCTCTGCAACAACTCGTTGCTCGATTCACGCCACAACCACAAGAAATAATTGATAACCCGAACCGGCCGACGCTGAAGGAAACAAGGCAAGATCCACGATTTAGACGAAAAAACGAAAGATCTCGGTCGCCCCATAGAACAAGTGGGAAAGGCGACGAAGAACCTCAACAAACGACCCAGGAAATGCAAAATGGCGGCCATCTCACACCGGTACGCTTGACAGAACAAGATGGCGGTCGGCCTCCCCAAGCCAGCGCACCCCCGCTCAATGAAGGCACATTTCAAGGACACCCTTTGAAGCAGACGAAACCACCGGCACCACCAAATTTGTTGCCGGCCCCTGAGACAAACGACGACATAGAATGGCCGCTCCTAGGAATTTCCTCACGGAAAAGAAAATTGAGCTCGCAGCCTATGAGAAATGCCAACGAATCTACGCCGAGGTTGTTCCCGGTGCAAACTGTGGTGCTTCGCTCTGTCGGGAAGAAAGAAGTAAGTGCATTCACCGGAAAAGAAATTCGCGAAGCCATTTAAAGTGCCGGCATTCAAGCCCACGCCGACTACACCGTCCATCGGAATGAGAGGGCAAATGCCCTAGCCATTACTACCAGGGACCCTCTCCTCACAGAGAAGCTTCTGAAAATCAACGCAATCCGCCAAGGGGAGGACACAAACGCGCTCCAACCCTACAAGGCTCTTGCCGGGAACCAATGTCGCGGAGTCGTGTACCTACGCGGTCAGAACAACGAGGTTACTCCTGAACAACTCCAGGAGGATATTGAGTGCAGAACTCACAAGCTGGTGGCAGCACGCCCATTGGGGACGAAGGGAAACACGATACTTGTCACATTTGAAGGCACAACTCGCCCCCAACGGGTAAGTTACATGCACGAAGTCCTCCCCGTACGTGAGTACCGCCCGAGACCACTCGTATGTTTTCAATGTCATGCGATTGTACACAAAAAGGACGTTTGCCCGCAAGAGAAGGAGCGCTGCGGAACTTGCGGCTCTGAGCACGATGGCATGGAGAAGTGCTCGCAGATTCCGAAGTGCGCAAATTGTGGCGGGGCCCACGTGGCGACCAGCAATGAGTGCCCGAAGCGCGCCATTCCTCCGCGGCGCCCCGCCAAGAAAGCAGGTTAAAAATCGGCGCAAGGGATAGATAAACCCACTTTACCACCACCGGCGGGAAGACCGGCGAGCCAAGATGCCGGGACGTCGTATGCAGCAGTGACGATGGGAGCCTCTCAACCAACGGTATCACCGGAGTATCCGGCCCAACGGCTGGACATGGCGACACAGGTCCTTCAACTCCAATACGCAGGCTTTGCTCGGATGGAGAAGCAACTGGCCGAACTCACGACAGCCATCCACAGACTCATAGACACTTGTAACGACCGACAATAATCCCCCCAAAAAAGGTACAAGCACCCAAAGTGCCTCACACAAACCCAAACAGCACAAACACCGCGGCAAACTGCAACCATGGATCCTCCAATGGAACTGCGGTGGGTTGCAACAGAAACTTTATGAACTCAAAACGCGCCTCACTGCACTTAAAAACAAGACGCCCGACGTTATTCTTCTACAGGAAGCTAACGTAGAGAAAATTAAGATTAGGGGTTACAACACTTACATTAACCCCAGTATACAAAGACAAACCTCTAATTTTGGAATTGTAACCACTCTTGTAAAGAAAACACACCCACAGACACAACTGAACTCAGATGCAGCGTGTTCTGACGACCGTGAAGTTGTTTCCACGAGGGTCAAAATTAGGGACACGCCCATTGATATACATAACACATACATCAGGCCAACCGTGGGCCCAAATGAAGCCAATTGGATCAAAGACCTGGGAAGAAGGACAAGCGTACTATACTTGCGGGGGACTTCAATGCCAGACATACCGCGTGGGGATATCCGAACAAGAACGCCCGCGGCAAACATCTAAAAAAAGCCTGCGTCGCAGCTGGTCTTCACCTCTGCAACGAACCAGACACTCCCACGCGGCTGGCCCAGTGCTCCAACCAAAACGACACGTCCCCCGACCTAACTTGGACCTCTTCAGATCTACGGGTCCAGTGGCAAGTGCAGGCCGATCCAATGAGCAGCGACCACCTTCCCATTCATATACGACTTCTCATACGCACTTCGTCCCGGCGACAGGTCACTTTCACAAAATGGGACAGCTACCGCACCGCCATGACACGCCTCGCCGGCGTCCCCTTCGCGGAACGCATCCAACACGCGCTACGGGAGGCCCGCACTGAGTACAACGTGAAAGAAGACACACCGCAACCCGACTTGCACCTTATCAACTTGTGGGACAGGCGACTAAAGGCCCTTATGCGCTACAGAACCAGGAGGTCCCTCCAGAACAAGATCCGCCTGAATCACGCCACGGCCGAGGCCAAGAAATACACAATCGAGCTCTGCCGTACCAACTGGCGGAAACTGTGCGACTCCTTTAACGAGCGGATAGGCTACCGTGCGCTTTGGCGGGCCTATAAAGGGCTCGCCGGGAAAACAAAAACCTGCAACACCGGAAGCAACTTGGCCCTCCGCCTCGACATTGCCGAAGAACAACTCGCGGCAGAGGCGGGAGATTATTTCTTCCCGCAGCAACCCGAGCCGCCCCCAGCAGATGTCTACGTCCGGCAGCCCATACAAAATGAACACCCGGCGGACGCTTTCTTCACGCTCGCCGAGCTCCAGGACGCTCTCGCGACAGCGCGAGCCAAGTCGGCACCTGGCCCGGACCTCGTTACTATCTCCGCGCTCCGGAACCTTCCGTCGGACGCCATGAAGGAGCTTCTTGACATCTTCAACGCCATCTGGGAGGAGGGTGAGCTACCTTCCGAATGGAAGAGATCTACAGTGATCCCTATTCCCAAGCCTGGAAAGGCTCCCAACATGGTGGCCAACCTTCGACCAATCTCCTTGACGTCAAACCTGTGCAAAGTTCTAGAGCGGATGGTCAATGCTCGTTTGTCCTGGATCCTCGAGTCGACTGGGGCCTTTCATCCGATGCAAACGGGCTTCCGTTCTCAACTCTCGACACAGGACAGCCTACTCATGCTTTACCATGACCTGTACGAGCGCCGGCTCTTCAAAAGCCAACCGCGTACGCTTGTGGCCATCGACTTACGCAAAGCATTCGATTCCATACCACACAGCACCGTTGTGAATGCAGCAAAGAGGCGAGGTATTAAGGGCCGCCTCCTAAACTTTATCAAAACATTTCTCCAAGACCGAACATTTCAGGTGTCCATCGGTCAAACCAAAAGCCAGTGGAGAACCAACAACATTGGAGTTCCCCAGGGGGCGGTCCTGTCGCCGCTTCTTTTTAACCTCGCTATGGTGAACCTGGCTCTCGCTCTCGAAGCCGTCCCGCAAATTCGCTTTACAATCTATGCGGACGACGTCACCCTATGGACGACGGCAGGTGGCGCGGAAAGCCAACAACTCTATATGCAGAAAGCGCTGAACATCGTCACGACCTTCGCCCTCCAATCAGGCCTCGAATTATCAAAGGAGAAGACCACTTATATGGTCATTCCCGGCCGACGCCGGAGAGCCCGTACAGACATTCAACTGCAGGTGGATGGAGTCCCTATTACCCAGACCGACTCTATCAAAATTCTAGGCGTCACATTCGACCGCAAAGGCGGCGCTATCACATGGCTCCGGCGGGTGAAGTCGCAGTGGAAAGAAGGCCTAAACTTACTCAAGGCCATCTCAAACAAGGCATATGGGGTGCACAGGACGACCTCCTTCGACGCCTCGTCCGTACCATCCTGATCTCTAAGGTGGTGTACGGACTTAATTATCTTCGTCTCACCAAGAAACAAGAAGCTGCACTCACCACCATGTTACGAGCAGCCATGCGAGTTGTCACTGGACTTCCCCGCTTCACGCAGGTAGACCAACTCGAGAGCATCGCTCAAATGAATACTATCCGTGATATCGCCGATGAGATGCGGGTGAGCCAAGCTCAACGGCTGTCTCGCACTCCTCACGGTCGAATCATACTCACGTCCAGTGGTCGCGCCCACCTCATCAACGGCCCGCTCATGCCGACACCAACTCCACCTTGGAACGCGGAGGCAGTCACCCCTGTCAAACCCCTTCCAAGTCACGAAGGACCTGATCGCAAGCGGCCATTCATAACAAGGAAATCAGCCAGTTCCTCAAACACGTAGAAGTCTTCTACACGGATGCAGCGAGGGACGATAGCGGCCGAACTGCAGTAGCATGGCACTCACCTACTCGCAACGAGACGAGCAACCAGCTTACCTCACGTACACGAAGCACCTGCATGGCAGAACTTCTGGCGATTTTGTTCGCAGTGGAAACGGCCACGACCATGCCACGCCCAGA